CGCGTCGTATCGTTCAGCTGCACGTACGATGTCGCGGTAGCTACTGTAGTTCGCGGCAATGACCTTGTCAAACATTTATCATATAGCTTGTCTAGGCTATAGTGGGGTAGACACTAAGGGGTATAGTTTTCTAGGGTTTCCTACTTGTACCCATCCTTGTCCTATTTCATCTCATTCCTGTTTCTTCACATGGTATAGAGCGGGTTCCCTAGTGGGACCGTTTCTTCCTAAGGGCCCACCATTTTTTTTTTTTTCCTAACCTGCCCGAAGCGCGCTTCGCGCTCTGCCCTGCCCTACCCTCTCGCGGCCCCCTTAGCGGCCTGCCCTGCTCCTGAGGGCCGTCGCGACCTCCCTTTGCGGCCCCTACGCGGCCCCTTCGCGGCCCCTACGCGGCCCCTTCGCGGCCCCTTCGCGGCCCCTTAGCGCCCCCCCCCCCTTCGCGGCCCCTTAGCGGCCCCTTCGCGGCCCCTTAGCGGCCCCCCTTCGCGGCCCCTTAGCGGCCCCTTCGCGGCCCCTTAGCGGCCCCTCCGCGGCCCCATCGTGGCCCCGCCCCGTTGCCCGTAGCGGCCCCGCCCCGTTGCCAGTTGCGGCCCCGCCCCGTCGCCGCCCCGTCGCCCGTCGCAGCCCGTCCTCGGCCCTGGGCTGCGACCCGCCCTGCCTTCGGCGCGGCCCTCCTCGGCCCTGGGCGTCGACCCGCCGTCGCGGCCCCGTGCGGCCACCTCACCGGCAGGCACGGGCCTCCGCGGCTCTGCCGCCCCTTCGTCGCGGCCCCGCCCTGCCCCTATCTCCGTCGTGGCCTCCCATCTGCAGCAGCCGCCGGGGCGTGACCTGCAGCAGCTGTCGTCACTGCTGCCGCCGCCGAGTATGCAGCAGCCGGTGTGACAGCCACCGCCGCTGTCGCCGCCGACCCGGCCCTGCCCTGCAGCCGAGCCGCGGCCCTACCCTGCAGCCCTATTGCGGCCCCGACCCTGCCGGCGCACCACGGCCTTGCCCCACCAGTCGCGGCCTCCTACCCACCCGCCCCTGGTAAGCGCACTGTTGAGCCGCACAGCTTAGCCGAGTCGCACCACTGCTGCTGCTGCTAGCCTACTGCTGCTACTGCTAGCCTACTGCTGCTGCTGTCATGGCTAGTCCCAATGTTCTTACCTTCGATGCTGAGGGTCGAGCGGTCGACTTTGAGGTCTGGGTCGATGATCTGCAGCTTTTCCTACAGTGCGATAGCAAGGATGGCATCTCCCTGTTCGATCTCACGTCTGGTGCCTCTGCTGCCCCTGCTGCTGATGCTGACAGTACTGTTTGCTCGTATTGGACCACGCGCGATGCTGCTGCCCGCCTTGCTGTGCGTAGTCACCTGCCATCCACTGAGCGCGCGCACTTTAGTCAGTACAAGAGTGCTAAGACTCTGTACGACGCTGTAGTTGCACGCTACTCCTCCCCTGCCACTGCTGCCCTTAGTCGCCTCATGCTGCCGTACCTGTTCCCTGACCTCGCCGCCTTTGCCACAGTCGCTGACCTCATTACGCACCTCCGCACTAGTGACACCCGCTACCGCGCTGCGCTTCCTGCTGAGTTCTGCGCCAAGAACCCCCCCCCCCATGTACATCACCCTCTACTACCGAGTCACTCGGCTCCCTGACTCCCTTCGCTCGGTCAGGGACCACTTCCTCTCTGTTTTCCCCACCACACTCACCGTTGACCTCCTCGAGGAGCGCCTCCTTGCAGCAGAGAAGAGTATAGTCGCTGTAGGAGCCTCTCGTGGTGACCCTCGTGCCCCTTTCTTTGAGGGGTGCTCCCCTGTCCCCCTTTTGCCCTCTGTTGCCTCTGCTGCTGCTGTCGACCTCGTTGGCACTGAGTCGGTCGGCGCTGCGTCTGCTCCTAGCGGGAGGCGCCGCAACGGCAAGGGCAAGGGGGGCAAGGGCGCTGGAGGAGTTGGCGGGGGCGGCGGTGGTGGCGGTGGAGGCGGAGGAGGGGGTGGGGGTGGGGGCTTCGGTGGCGGCGGTGGAGGTGGAGGCGGCGGCGGCGGTGGCGGTGGGGGTGGAGGCGGCGGCGGCGGTGGCGGCGGCGGCGGAGGTGGAGCTGGTCGAGGTGGAGCTGTGCAGCGGGGACCCCAGCAGCAGCAGCGCTCTCGTGAGACCCCGTCGCCCCAGCAGCTTCGTGAGTGGTACGCAGGGCGCCATCGGTCTGGGGGTGCTGGTCCCTGTGCCTACGTCCTGCGCACCGGCGACCGCACTGGGGAGCCGTGCGGCGGGCCGCACGCCACCCAGCGCTGCTTCGGTGCCCTGACCGATGCCTGGCGTACCCAGTTCCCTGCCGCCACTGAGATCCCTCGCTGGGGTGATCTGCTCAAGTCGGGTGTAGCTATCCAAACATTTATCATATAGCTTGTCTAGGCTATAGTGGGGTAGACACTAAGGGGTACAGTTTTCTAGGGTTTCCTACTTGTACCCAACCTTGTCCTATTTCATCTCATTCCTGTTTCTTCACAGACCTGTCGGCGAATCTCCATTTTTAACCCTTCAGTGTACGCTTGGATTTTCTCGCCTTCGGTCACATCGGTGATGCGATAAAAAAGTTGCTCCATCTACTGCGTATACAGTGCTGCACTTGCCAGCTTCTTGTGTCGGTGACTCTGCTGCTGCGCCATATACACCGAATTTATCGGCTCAAATCTTTTGATGAGGTCTGACCCAAACTGTGCCCACGTTTTCTCCCCGCGGGCCACGTCACTGTAGTAAATCCACTCGAGTGCTGGTCCTCGCAGCAGTGTCACTGCGAGCCGAATCCTTGCTGCATCGTGTGTCGGGGTCGAACAGCCAATGGCCTCGAAATAAATTTCGAGGGTCGCCACGAATCGTCGAATGTCCGATCCTTTCGTGCTCGGATCGAACGCTTCGGGGAGCCTCGGGCGAGCTGCTTCGAGGTTCGGCGAAGGTGGTGCCACTGGTCCGTGAATTGTCGGTGTCGCCGCTGCTGCTGCTACTGTCGCTGCTACGTTCGGTGCTGCATTCACTGCTGTTGTGGCGGCTACCAATTGGTTTGTCAGGAGGGCTTCGATTCGCCGGATCGCCGCCTGTGTCTGCTCCACGTCGGTGCGAAGGCTGGCGATGTCGTGGGTGGTCGCGTAATTGTTGCCTTGACCCTCCATCCCTGACATTGCGTGTCCGAAAATCGAAAACGAGGGGGAGTGAAAAACACGGAACCGGTTTTACGTACCCAAAATCAGTGTTTAACAGTCGTCGCCCCCGCAGTTTTTGAAGGCTTGGTTTTAGTGGCCGAAAAAACTTCGCGTGTAAACGACTCTGATTACCAAGTGTGAGGATCTAGGATCGAGCTTAGAAAAGAGAGTTTGAATTCAATGATCCACCTGGGTACAACACGAGGCTATATATAGTCTCGACACAAGGCCAGTTACTTAGGTGTTATGCGAATTTTCTGAGGGTCGCGAAGCATCCCGAACAGAACCTTCCCGAACTCGGTAGAAAGCAATTCGGTGGGAACCGAAAGGCTTGAGTTCGGTACACGTAACCTGGTTTGGTGCTATAACTATAATAACATATAAGAATGTACCTAACCTAGGAAATCAAGCATATTTATGCATGATAAAATAACCCCAAGCTAGATATAGCATAATAAGCAAGCATAAGCCGTCGTACTCTCACAGAGACGCCATGTTCCAGGCCCTCTACACTAGTGCTGAGTTCCGTTGTCTTATTCCTTTCATTCGCCTTTTGTACGGGACACCCTCCGATCTCCTTTACCGGGCGAACGGAGGGGTGACCACTATACAATCGTAGCGCGGGACCCGCCAGGGCGACCCACTCAGCCCTTTCCTGTATGCACTCACACAGCACATGGCTCTACAGCCAGTTCTAGCTGAGGGCGATGTCCAGCTATGGTCATACGCAGATGACGCTTACGTGCTGGGCCCTCCTTCTCGAGTGCTACACCACTTCGTAGAGATTGTGAGGCACTTGCGCAAGCTGGGCCTTGCGGACCAGCTACACAAGTGTCTTGTCTATGGCAGGAATTTTGTGACTTCCAGGGAGGCGGAGGCCTTCGCGAGTCTAGGGATTGAGGTCGCTCGCAGAGGACTCACCGTCACGGGAGTGCCGGTGGAATCTGACGCTTTTGTGGACAGGAGCCTACCTGAGCGTCTGGAGAGGATGGGGCGCGTGTTGCCGTGGCTTCCGAGACTACGCCATCCCCAGACAGCGGCCCGTTTACTTTCGGCATGCGTCAGCACGCAACCGCAGTATCTGGCGAGGACGGTCCCTCCAACCCCGGCTGTACGTGCAAGTTTTGCACGGTGGGATGAGCGGTTGGGAGAGACCTTTCAGCATCTCCTGGTGCCTGGGACTTGGACTTGCAGAGAGGACGTTCTTGAGACTGCCCTGGACCAGATCTACCTCCCCATACGTCTAGGGGGTTTTGGCATCCGACGCATGGAGCGTATTGCCCCAGTGAGTTATGCATGCTCTTGGGTATAGTGCGCGCCGATCCTTTGCTCCCTCCCAGTGTGCGGCGCGAGCTTCCGACAGAGCTTCGCATCGGATGATGTTGACCAGATCGATCGATCACTGCGGACGGCGCTGGAGGGCCTCCCACGTGACACCCTCTCTCTCTTCCCCCCCTGGCCCTCTTGTGTCTCTGCTGCCCCTGATTCTCTTTTCACATGAGTGAGCCGTGTCTTGGAGGTGCGGGCCTTGGAGTCAGTCCGGGCCCGTCACACTAACCCCTTGCACCTTGCCCGTTTGACATCCATTCAGGGCACAGGTGCAGGCGCGTGGTTGACGGCGGTGCCGTACGCAGACTCGCTGCGCATCCCAGAGGCGCAGTGGCAGGTGGCCTCAGCTTTCCGTCTCGGCCTCCCTATCCCCCAACTAGCCCTCGCAGGTCGGTGTTATTGTGGGCAGGCGATCGACGACATGGCGGTACCTCACCACGTGGTGCGGTGCTCCCGCTTCGGCGTCGCCACGGTCATCCACGACACCGTGAAATACATGCTTCGGGACTTTGCTTCCGAGGCAGGCTTCGCGGTGAAGGTGGACGACACCACTTTGATTCTGCACCTGGAGGCAGCTAGAGCGCGACTGCAGGGACTCTCGGGGACGGGGGACGGGGTACCGGGACAGTCAGGGGCACCGTGGGGACAGCAGCAGCAGCAGGGTGGGCTCGGTCGAGGGGCTGGTGTGCAGGAGGGCCAAGAGGGGCAGGATGGGCTGGCTAGTGGGGGAGAGGAGGGGGGACAGCAGCAGCAGCGGCAGCAGCAGCAGCGGCAGCCGCAGAAGCAGCAGCTAGGCCAGCAGGGGCAGGAGGGGCAGACCCATAGGGGTGAGGAGAGGGGACAGCATGGACAGCAGCAGCGGGGCCAGCAGGGGCAGGAGGGGCTGGCTAGTGGGGGAGAGGAGAGGGGACAGCAGCAGCAGCAGCAGCAGCAGCAGCAGCAGCAGCAGCGGCGGCAGCAGCAGCAGCAGGGCCAGCAGGGGCAGCAGCAGCAGGTTTGTAGGGGAGAGGAGAGAGGGCAACAGCAGCAGCACCAGGAAGGTCAGTAGGGTCAAAAGGGGCGGCAGCAGGAGGGTCAGCATGGGCAGCAACAGGAGGATCAGCTAGGGGAGCGGCGTGAGGGTCAGCAGGGGCAGGCTGGCTGGGAGGAGGAGAGGAGACAACAACAGCAGCGACGACAGCAGGAGGGCCAGCAGGGGCAGGAGGGGCAGGCCAGTAGGGGAGAGGAGAGAGGACGGCAAGAGCAGCAGCAAGAGGGTCAGCAGGGGCAGCAGCAGGAGGGTCAACAGGGGCGACAGCAGGAGGGTCAGTGGGGGTGGGCTACTAGGGAAGAGGAGAGGGGACAGCAGCGGCAGCAGCAGCAGCAGCAGCAGCAGCAACAGCAACAGCATGGCCAGCAAAGGCAGGAGGGGCAGGTTGGTGGGGGAGAGGAGAGAGGACAGCACAGCCAGCAACAGGAGGTTCAGCAGGGGCAGGAGAGGCCGGTGAGTGGGGTAGAGGAGAGGGGACAGCAGGGGCAGCAGTGGGATGGCCAGCAAGGGCAGGTGGGGTTCCGGTTCCAGGGGGCGACCCAGCCCTTGGGTGCGGGCTGGTTCGGGGAGAGAGGGAGAGAGGAGGTGGCGGGGGACACGACTGCGGGAGCGCAGGGGTTAGGAGGGGAGGGTATGGAGGGGGGGGATAGGGCAAGGGTGTCGGGGAGTTTGGGGTTGGGGAGAGGGGATGGGAGGAGGCAGGTGGCTGGGGGAGAGGATAGAGGGGCAGAGACGACAAGGGAGGAAGCACAGAGGGACTAGGCACAGCAGCAGCCAGTACAGCAGCAAAGGCAGGCTGGACGCACAGGCCGCAAAGGGACACCAGCCCGCATTCCAGACCTGACTTGCTGCGATATAGAAAAAACTTTGATGGTGTTGGTAGACGTCTCCATTGCAGATCCACAGCAACAGGGGAATACTGGGCTTAGACGAGTGGCCCCAGTGCAGATACGTGTTGCAGCAGCTAGACGAGTACAGGACAAGTTGCGGGATTGGGCACCGCATCTAGAGGGATTACAACCACCGCCACATTTTTATGCATGTGTAGTGGAGACGTTTGGGTTTCTCTGCGAGCCAATGAGGCAGTTTCTAGGGCTTTGTGCGCGGCGGATTGCACAGTGGTGTAAAGACTTGGGAGGGGGGGGATGACGGGTCCGCAAGGATTTTCGAGACCGGACTCACTACACGACTTTCCGTGGCACTGCAGTGAGCGCAGGCTCAGAGTATTATACTGCATGCGGTGCGGCAGTTGGGAGGGTCAGACGATGGGTGGATGCCCGCACCAGTCCCTTTGGGTGCAAGGCAGGGCAGTTGGCACCACATTGTGGGAAATAAGAGTTAGAATAGAAGTTGATGCTTTGATTGAGAATGATGGGGGTATACATAGTTGGGGTTTGGATACTAGCCTAGGTTGGCATTATTGGCCCCCAACCAAGAAGTTGGGTTGGGTGATTATTGGTGGGGTCCAATAATGTTGGCCAAGGTGGGGTTGGGCCAACATTATTGGAGGGAGCCAACATTTCTACCCAACCCAACCTTTTGGTGTCCAATAATTGGACCAAGGTTGGGTTCCAACCTACAAACTGGGTTGCCCCTGTTTGTACACCCAAACTAAGTTTGGGTGCTTATCTCTAGCCTATCCTATAGCATATATGCAGGTTGCAAGAGGAGAGATATTCTAACACAACCCCTTAACCTGCAGATATGTGGAAAGGCTGGAGAGTAGCAACCCCTGAATCAAGGCACGCCGGGAGGGGCGAGGCCGATGAGACGGAGAAGAGCAGAGTGCGCAGGGCGGAGAAGGGCTTTGGTAAAGATATCAGCCAAGTTGGCCGCAGCAGTGATCTTGCGGACGGCAAATGAGGCCTTGCTGGACGAGGTCACGGATGAAGAAGTAGCGGAGCTCGATGTGCTTGGAGCGGCCGTGAAAGACTGGGTCCTGGGTGAGATGGATGGTGCTGGCATTGTCACACCAGAGTGTGGGACAGTGCTGCGGGGCACCAAGCTCGGCTAGAAGAAAGCAGAGCCAATGGGACTCTTGTGCAGCCATGGTGCCAGCATAGAGTTCGGCTTCGCAGGAGGAGAGGGCAACGGCAGATGAGCGAGTAGAACGCCAGCTGATAAGTCCGCTGCCAAGCGTGAAGCCATAGCCTTGTGAGGAGCGGCGGTCTGGCTAGGAGTCCGCCCAGGAGGAGTCACTGAAGCCAGAGAGAAGGGGAGGGGAGGAACCACCCAATGTGAGGGCGTGATCCTTGGTGCCTCGGAGGTAGCGGAGAACTCGCTTGGCGGCAGTCCAGTGTTCCTCAGTGTGGCGGCCGGAGCCGACGAACCGAGCGAGGACGCTGATGGGATAGGCAACGTCGGGGCGAGTGCACATCATCGCGTACATCAGCGACCCGACGAGTTCGGCATAGGGACGGGAGGAGGCGGAGGGGGAGGTGGGTGGCGCCAGCTGGTGACCGAAGGGGAGGGGGGTGGAGACCGGTTTGGCCTGCGCCATCTCGAACTTCTCCAGCACTTGGCCGATGTAATGGGACTGGGAGAGGGTGATGGTGCGGGCGGATCGGTCGCGTGTGATGATCATACCAATATAGTTCTCTCTCTCTCTCTCTCTCTCTCTCTCTCTCTCTCTCTCTCTCTCTCTCTCTCTCTCTCTCTCTCTCTCTCTCTCTCTCTATAAATGTATATACATATATATGTATATATATATTTATCTCTCTCTTGTCAGAATGTTATGTTTGTCTAGCCTGCAGTGGGGTACTCAATAGCGAGTACAGCCCAATCTAGGGTTTGCTATATGTACTCAACTGCCTGCTAGTGAAGGCCCCTTCTCTGTTTCATCATTCATTCGTTCCATATTCTAACATCTCTCGCTCTCTAACTCTCTGTCCCTCTATCTCTCCCTCCCTCTCTCTCTCTCTCTCTCTCTCTCTCTCTCTCTCTCTCTCTCTCTCTCTCTCTCTCTCTCTCTCTCTCTCTCTCTCTCTCTCTCTCTCCCCCTCTTGCACTCTCCTCAATTTCTGCCATTTCTTCTAAAGTCAGCCCATGGCGAGGTTGTTTGCCCTTTGATTCCTCCTCTTAGTGTCTAAATATTCAGTTTCTTGTGGCTTCATTGCCTCCCATATCCTCCTAGAGGTGTGGGGTGGAAGACTCAAGAGCAACCAAGTGCACAATAAATTTTATAAATGAAAAGAACAACTCCATAGAGCTTGTAAAGAGCTTCTAGGCAAACGCCCTTAGACCCTCAATGGTCTATCTCTCCTAAAAATATTCACAGCAAAATTAAACGGAAAGAGATCGACTTCATGATGCTCTACAGAGCTTCTAGGCAAACGCCTTAGACCCCACATGGTCTTTCCCCCTAAGGGCTAGCCAAACGGCAATTGCTACATAAAAACAGCCCAAGGGGCACGGCCAACGGCCTTCGTTGTACTTGTACCCAACTCTTTCATAGTTCATTCATTCTCGTTCTTTATTTTGACATGGTTTCAGAGCAGGTCCTTCGCTAGGACCGTTTTTTTTCCTTGGGCCCACCACAGCCCTGCCCCACTAGCAGCCCCTCGCGACCCTCATGCCGCACCTACTGCCTCGCGCGCCGCCCTCGTGCGGCCCTCCTCTCGACCATAGGCCCCGGCCTGTCGCCCGTCGCCCGTCGCCCCTAGGCCCGAGCCCGTCGCCCCTAGGCCCGCGCCCGTCGCTCCTAGCCCCGGCCCGTCGCCCGACGCCCCTAGGCCCCGGCCCGTCGCCCATCGCCCCTAGGCCCGCGACCGTCGCCCCTAGTCCCGGCCCGCGCCCGTCGACCCTGGCCCCGGCCCATCGCCCGACGCCCCTAGGCCCGCGCCCGTCGCCCCTAGCCCCGGCCCGCGCCCGTCGCCCCTAGCCCCAGCCCGTCGCCCGACGCCCCTAGGCCCCGGCTCGTCGCCCGTCGCCCCTAGGCCCGCGCCCGTCGCCCCTAGCCCCGGCCCGTCGCCCGACGCTCCCTAGGCCTCGGCCCGTCACCATTCGCCCCTAGGCCTGCGCCCGTCGCCCCTAGCCCCAGCCCGCGCCCGTCGCCCCCGGCCCCGGCCCGTCGCCCCCAGGCCAGTCGCCCCGGCCCGTCGTCCCTCGGCCCGTCGCCCCTAGGCCCGTCACCCCTAGGCCCGTCGCACCGGCCCGCCGCCCCTAGGCTCGTCGCCCCGGCCAATCGCCCCTAGGCCCGTCGCCCCGGCCCGTCGCCCCGTCCTGTCGCCCGTCGCCCCGGCCCGTCGCCCGTCGCCCCGGCCCGTCGCCCCTAGGCCTGTTGCCCCGGCCCGTCGCCCGTCGCCCCCCTAGACCCCGGCCCGTCGCCCGTCGCCCCTAGGCCCCGGCCAGCCCGTCGACCCCAGGCCCCTTGCGCCGCCTCTTGCGGCCCGCCCCTTCGCCCCTGCAGCCCGCGAGCCGCCCTTGCAGCCCCGCGCGCCGCCCCTGGTGGCGCCCTAGCCGCCCCTGCTGCCCTGCTTGCCACCCCTCTCTGTTGCCTGCCCTGTTCCCTGCGCTCCCGGCTTCTGCCCGCCCTGCGTGCTGCGCCGCTATGGCCTTTCTCCGCGTTCTAGCGTTCGATCATGAGGGCCGCCCGATCCAGTTTAACACGTGGCTTGACGACCTGCAGCTGTACCTACTGAGCGACTCTAGGGACAGCGTTTCGTTGTTTGACCACACGACAAGTGCTGCTCCCGCCCCTCCCGCCACACCTGACAGTGCGACTCGCTCACAGTGGCTTACTCGTGACGTTGCTGCTCGCTTAGCCATTCGCAACCACATGCCGTTAGCCAAATGCGCTCACTTCGGACAGCACAGGCACTGTACAACGCTGTAGTCGCCCGTTACTCCTCGCCTGCCACTGCTGCTCTAGGCCGTCTTCTACTGCCCTACCTGTTTCCAAAGCTGTCCGCCTTTGCCACAGTAGAGGACCTCGTTTCCCACCTTCGCACTAGCAACGCTCGCTACCGCGCTGCCCTCCCAGCAGAGTTCCTTGACAGGAACCCGCCCCCGATGTACATCACTCTCTACTTTATAGTCACCCGCCTCCCTGACTCTCTTCGCGCTGTCAGGGACCACTTTCTCGCACTTGACCCTACAGCCCTCACCGTTGACCTACTCCAGTAGCAACTCCTTGCAGCTGAGACTAGTGTAGTCGCTGTAGGTGCTGCTCGTGGCACTCTGCGCACGCCCTTCTTTGAGGGGTGCTCCCCCTCCCCCCTTGCCCCCTCCTACGCCTCTGCTGCTGCTGTTGACGTCCTTGGTGCTGAGGATGTCGGGGCTGCTTCTGCTAGTGCGAAGCGCCGCAGCAGCAAGGGCAAGGGTGGCAAAGGTGGTGGTGGTGGCAGCGGGGGTGGTGGTGGGGTCAGCAGTGGAGGTGGTGGAGGCAGTGGAGGTGGTGGCAGCGGTGGGAGTGGTGGCGGGAGTGGGGGCTTTGGTGGCGGCGGTAGAGGCAGCGGTGGGAGTGGCGGTAGTGGCAGCGGTGGGAGTGGTGGTGGTCGGACTGGAGCTCAGCGTGGAGGTTCTATAGGAAACCAGAGGCAGCAGCAGCAGCAGCGTCGGAGCGAGACCCCGTCGCCCCAGCAGCTTTGTGAGTGGTTTGCTCAGCGTAGGGCGTCTGGGGGTAGTGTTAGCTGCCCGTATGTCATTCGCACGGGTGACCGTGCTGGTCAGACATGCGGGAAGCCTCACACTCAACACGGCTACTTCTCCTGCCTAGACGACGCTTGGCGCGCAGAGTTTGGTGACGAGGCCGAGCGCCCCCG